AACAGTTCTAGCAATATGGGAGCTTGGGAGAGAGAGAGTAGGAAAGAAAATGGGAGATATACTGTAGGGCAGAACAAGATTGGGTTAATATGATGGCAAGCTGTATTGATGGCAAGTTGAAATAAAGAAGACAGCTAGCTGGGTGCTGGTGGTTTACACCTGTAATCCTAGCTACTGGAGAGGCTGAGATCTGAGGATTACCGTTCAAAGCCAGCCCAGGCAAGAAAGTTGCTGAGACTTTCCTTATTTCTAATAAACTACTCAGAAAAAGTCCCATGTGGCTCAAGTGGTAGAGTGTTAGCCTTGAGAGAAAAAGCTCATGCCGTGAGTTCAAGCTCCACGACCAACCAAAAAAAGAAAGAAAGAAAGAAAGAGAAAAAAGAAGAGAGCCTAAAAGCACAAGATCATGGATGAGTTCACTGCCATACCTTTTGTCCTTATGGTATTCACACATACTCCAGCAGGCAGAGCTGACACTGGTCTGGTTCTATCAAGCAGGATACTATAAATATGGATAAGCTAGCAGTAACTCATAGAAACCACTGGCATATTACTTTCTTTTTTTAAAATCATCATCTGATATGGCTGATAACAGAAGAGACAAAAAATCCAGGCCAAAGCTATATTTATATTTAGTCCCAGTATAAGAAATTAAAATGTCCTTTTTAGTCAGTTGTGGGGCTTGAACTCTGGGCCTGAACACTGTTCTTGAGCTCTGTTTTGCTCAAGGCTTGTACTTTACCACTTGAGCCACAGTGCCTCTTCCAGTTTTCTGGTGGTTAATTGGAGTCTCACAGACATTCCTGCCTGGAAAAGTCTCACAGACTAGAATCCTCAGATTTCAGCCTCCTCAGTAGCTAGGGATACAGGCATGAGCCATTGGTGCCTGACTAAAATTTTTGGCTTTTAAAGCTATAAGAAACCAAAATTACAACCAATGAATACATACTTTAGTACCAGAATATGTGAAAAGAAAGGGAGACTGGTAGCCAAAGCTTAGTTTAAGAAAATAACCCAGGTAGGAGATATGGAACCCTAAATTAACTGTACTTACTCAGTCACACAAATATTTAACAAACATACAAAGGAGGTAGATAGCTACCTCCTTTCTTTGTCCTCACATAGCAGAAGTAGAGCAGGGAGAGTATGCTTGTCTTTATTTTGCTTCTAAGAACTTAAGAGTCCCATCATATGCACCCTACCCTCATGATTTATCTTATCTGTGATAAATGCAAGAAAATTAAATGAAGCTGATAGGAGTTACTGTGGCTAGAGAAATAACATAAACAGGGATTACAGAAGAGGATGATAAACACTATTAGTACAGATAAAGTAGTTCAGAGAATGGAGTATTTAACTTCATTTAATTTTAAGAACTTACTGGATTACTTGCGATTTGCCTGTTAGAATTACTTACATGGCCTTCAAAAAAAGATAACTAAGAATCTGAAATTCAACACAGGAGATAACAAGAATAATCAATATTTATATTGTGCTTAGGGCCCTAAGTGCTATACATATGTATTAATTTAATTAATACTGACAATAACCCTAAGAGACTTTACATTAAAAAGAAGAAAAGCCACTGAGGCACAGAGGAATGAACTAATTCATTCTTAGTCATAAGGCTATTAAGGGGTGAAGCAGGATTTGAATGTAGGTAGTTAAGTTCCACTCTATATTGAAGACATATCATCACCTGTCTTTATATCTGACATGAACTGAGTGGAGGTAGGATCCCCCAAGCAAAGTATACGGATTGTGAGGAAGTCTGACAGTGCAAACAAATGGTGAGAAGCAATAAAGAGGCTGAAATAAGCCACATGTGCTGGTATATGCCAATACTCTCAGCACTCAGGAGGCTGACAAGATCATGAGTTCGAGGCTACCCTGAGATACATAGCAAGACCCTGTCTCAAGAAAAACCAAACCAGCTAAATAAGAGTTTCAGATATTCATAAAGAGGTGGAATAAATTAATGAGGTCTTCTGCATTTAACAATGAAGTTAATATTAACCACTATTTAGCAACTTAAGGGGACTGAAGACAAAATAAAATAACACAGAAATAAAATAAAATAAAAATAGTATGGAACACAGAAAAATTTGGCTGTGAAGAAAATAAATAGCAAGTGCACCAAGAGGTATACCTTAGCTCAAGGACAAATATTTTTCTTTTCTCCCACTTCCCCAGATGTAAAGGCCATGACCATACCTATAATCAGAGTAAAGGCAATATGGGATAAAGAATAAAGACTAGAAGCTATTAGAGAAAAAAAGATGATTGATACAATAAGCTCTGAAGAAGAAAAAAGATGAGAGCCGCTTCAAGGGTGTGGATAAGGGTAAGAAGTTGAGAGTTCATGCTTAGTGAACTATATTTTCTTTGTGAAACAGAAGTGAGGTTCATAGAGTTAAGGAAAATACTAAATTTTAAGCAGCCACTAAAAGATCAGATAAAAATATCAAGAAAAAAAAATGCTGAAATAAAAACCTAGCAGGACTTTTTTTTTTTAAGCCATGTATGTTTACAGTACTGACCCTTCTGGTTAGTGAATTTTTCCTGCTACTCAAGTAGAAGAGGTGAAAAGGCAGACTTTAAAGGACAGGATCTGAACATCAGCTCAAGATGGAAAGACAGTATGCTGGTAATTTACATAGGAGGACAAAACCAGACACATCTAGGGTAAGAAGCACATAAAGAAGGAGTAGGTTTAGTGTAAGGGTGTAAGAGAAATAGAATGTTAGATGGTAGTAAGCAAAACGGGGGCAGAAAATATGTCTATTTTGGTCAATAAATAAGTGGAAAAAAAATAATTAAGTGGTCAGAAAATGGTATAGCGAGGCTTCAGATTTGCCTGTTACCAAAAAAAAAAAAAAAAAAGAAGGCCTTATTAACTCTGAGTAGCTTAATCCATGAGGAAAGCAGGCTCCTTTACATTCACAGAATCCAGATCCAATGAAGCTCCAGAATTGACTGGGGTGAAGAAAAGATTGTGAAATGTGATAAGGTAGCATGTAAAGGACCAAAGTCAAACTTGATAGAAGACGGTAAAAAGGAATTCAGTGGGTTGAGCAAAATTGCTGGGGCTTCAAAGGAGAGGTTTTGTTTGGGAAGTTGGTAAACTGATGCTTTGGGATCAGCACAGATGAATTGGAAGAACAATAACTTCTCCCTTCCAGTTTTGAGACAAAGGATGGGGAAGGAGGAGGATGTGGGAGAATAAGCAGCCCCTCCTTGAAGGACTGCCAGAGAAGTGATGTCCTTGGAAACCTGCCAAGTTTCAGTTAAGGGCAGGAAGGGTAAGGAACACTGTGTGAAGAAGAACAGGGGCTCCAGAAGGCAGAGTAAAAAGGGGTGGGAGGAAAACAGTGGGAGGATGTGCCAGAGGGAGAGTACAGAGCAACATGGGAATGAGATTATGAAGACAGGAAGCCAGAAAAGCTTATATCTTGGTCACTGCAAAGAAGCTAGAAACAAGAGTCATGGAAACAATTCATGGGTGAAGGATTTGAATCAGAACTTTGAAATAAAGCAGATTTGATACTAACCCTGGTCTAAGCATTCTGGGTCTGAGTTCTGGTAGTTTCTCAGATATTTTACTTAGGGAAATAGTACATTCTTACCCAGTGAGACCAGGTTTCCATAATTCTCCACCATGACATCTTTATACAGGCTTCTCTGAGCTGGGTCCAGGTACTCCCACTCCTCCTGGGTAAAAAACACAGCCACATCCTCAAATGTCAGCAACCCCTGAAACTGTACGATTTCTGCAGTCAGTTCCTATTGTCTCAAGGGCACGTTCAGTGGTAGAAGTAATCACTTACCATGGCCCAGTAGGCTAGAAGAAATGTGGTAACTAAGAGTGCCAAAAGATGCCCGATTCTGGAAACTGACTGTAAGAGATGGGCATCTCAGACTAGAGGTTAACTGGGTTCGATCCTTGTCCTCTGAAGTAAAAAGCGTAAGGATAAAGTTTTGAGGGTATAATACTTACACCCTAACATGTACACTTTAGTAAACTGCTCCCAAGGCCTCTAAGTTTCCCTTAGCTCACTACTCTGTTAGACTATTCTCATTGCAGTATGAGCCGGTTCAATTCAAATCCATCAGTTTCTCTAAGCACCTACCTTGGGGTTCAGGCATCACCAACAGGCACATGAAGACAATAGGAGGTCCGGGGGGGGGGGGGGGGAATCAAGCCTCACCTGGAGAAGCTCACAAATGAGAGCTAGCTTGGAGCGTTGCTAATTTTCCCCAGCCGATTTATCGAGTCGCTCTGGAATGTACTGGAGCGCTGGTGGGCGATCTGCAAATAGACCGTACCCCAGAGCACCCGAGGAGGGGAGGCGGGGTCCCGGCAGGGCACTAGCGACCAGGAGGCGTGGAGCAGCAAAACTGGGGGGTGAGGGGGGGCGGCAGGGGCTGGCCTACCCGCCCCAGGCTAAGTGATAACGGGGATCCCTAGGCTTACCTTTGGCTCCACCGGGGGGCTCGGGGAGGCCATCTCCCGGCCAGAGTACAGGGGCGCCCGCACGGAAGAGAGACTCTGGTGGGGGCCAGCGGCTGCAGGAAATGAGGCCCAACCAGGACGAGGTTCCTCGATGGGGGCCAGCCAGGTCCTACCTCGGTCCCCGGAGCGGTCACGTTCCCTGCAGCATATCCAACCCGCTTCCCCGCCGCCCTGAACGCCCTCCCCTAGCGGGGTTGTGCCGTCTTTCCGGCCTCCCTAGAGCCTCCTCCCAGTTGCCAGTTCCACCTCCTCCTCACAGCCCGGCAACGCGGTGACCGACCATCCGCCCCCGGACCAGAAGGCGTCACCCAGAACCTTCCCCGGACGCCCTCCAACTACAACTCCCATCATGCCCTGAGGGTGAGCCGTGGCCAAGCCTTCGCAATGGCTGCCGAGACTACACTTCCCAGCGTGCAAAGGGTGAGGACGACTACCGCGGCTACTAAGCTTGCACCCGATTGGCTGAGAAGGAGAGCGTGAGCGAGATTGAGGGGAGGTCAAGGTTTAGGCTCTCCGTGAAGATGGCGGCGCTCCGTGTGTCCGGCGTTGCTGCAAGTGGCTTGACGCGGGCCTGCTTGGGGGCAACACGCAGAGAACTTTGGTCTCTCACCAGGTAGAGTTTGAGGATTTTTTTTTGGCCTGTAGCTTACATTCACTAAAAGTAAAGAGAGGCCCGGAGAAAAGTGAAGGACGGGCTGTGAGGCCGCGTGGTGCCGTGTCAGGTTGGGACGCGGGTCCCGGGCTGGTGGAGGAGCGGCGCCAGGTGCAGTGGATCGGGGTTCCCAGAGCGGAAGCTTCAGGGTCTCCCTGTCCGAAAGGGGGCTCCCTGTGCCTTCGATCGCATTGGGTGGTGTATGGCCGTGCGCGCACGCCAGCCGCCCCAGGCCCGTGGTGGGGCCGGGCCGCTTCACCGACGGGCGCGTGGAACCGCCGCCGGGCCCAGCTCCCTGCGAGCAGGCCCCGCCTCTGCTCCCAGCCCGGCTGCCCAGGGCAGCGCCGCCGCCGGGGACGTGTGTGCTCCTTCGTTGAAACACTCGCCTCCTCTGCAAGGGCGTTTTTCTTTTTCTTTTGAAACCTTTATTACTAAATAGTTGTGCAGACAGCTCCGTAAGTCGTGTTAGGAGTAGGGTGCATGTTGATCTTTGTCACCCCTCCCATTCATTGTTCTTCGTCTCCCCCCCCCCCCCATCCTTACCCTCAAGTTACATAGTTCACTTTTTACATATTGTACGTTGAATTTGCTCACTCTTCCCACCTCCCATTCGTGTGGGAGGCTATTTTTCCTAAGCGTCAGGATAGAGTCAGAGAATCACAGCCCTTTCTTTTCTGACTGAGGAAACGGAGGCCCACCACAGGAACGTATTTTCCCAACATTAGAAAAGACAGAGTTGGTTCTAGAACCAGGTTTCCTAGTTTTCTATCTCCTATTTTTCCCCACTGCATTGCGTCCTGTCAGTAGACCTAGCTAATTTTTAAGGATATCAAAACATAGGATGGAAAGTCTCTTAAGTTGCAAGTTAGTCTTAACAGGAGGGTTTTTGTCATCAACTCATTATTAGCCCCCTCTCTACCTTCTTTGGTCAATGTTTGTTACTTACTGCCTGTCAAGTCTACAAGTTTGTGTTTATTATTATTTGTCAAGCAGTTTAGATGAAGAATAGAGTGGCTAATTAGACCAAATTAGTAGAGGGAGGAAAATGACCAAATATAGAATATTATTTTTAAGTAGTAAATTATGAAAACTAGAGCATTTAAAAGATAACTAAGCTAGGTGTAATGGTCCACACATATACATGTAATCTCAGCACTCTGGAGACCAAGGCAAAAAGGCAAGAGTCTCTGTCTCAAAAATGTGTGTGTGTGTGTTTGCTTGTTTGAGTCCCTTATATTACCTTATGTTTCTGAGGTGTCTACTATAATATTTCCTCTTACAATTTTGATTTTATTTAAGTTAAAAAGGGTTTTCAACTGTTATGTTTTCAAACGACTCAGTTTTATTGGCTTTGCTTTTTTTCTATTTTTATTCTATGTTGGATTTATATCACTTACAATTTTGTCAATATTGCAGTTTGAACACAGGTCCTTGTTCTTGCTAGACAGGTGTTCTGCCATCTGAGCCATGCCTTTTGCTTTTAACTTTTTTTTGGCAGCCCTGGGGCTTGAACTCAGGGCTTGGGCACTGATCTTACTTTTACTCTGTCACATGAGCCACACTGCCACTTCCGGTCTTTTCTGTTTATGTGGTACTGAGGAATTGAACCCAGGGTTTCATGCATGCTAGGCAAGCACTCTACCATTAAGCCACATTCAAAGCTCATTGCTTTTAACTGTTTTTCAGGTAGGGTTTCCTACTTTTTCCCTTGGGCCAGCTTTGTACTGATTTTTTTTTTTTAATGCTTCCCATGTAACAAATCATTTAAGTAGGAAAGGAGGAATTGGTGGTGTTCTTGACCAGACACCATTTCATTTCTTGTGCCTCATATCTCTGTAGGGATGATAAATTCCTGTGAGATACCATTGAGGTTAATTAAATATTAGAGAACTAGGGATCTTAAACAAAATGACTTACATTGATTCTTAGGTTTTTTTGTTTTTGTTTTTGTTTTTTTGGGTCCGGTCGTGGGGCCTGAACTCTGGGCCTGGGCGCTGTCCCTCAGCTCTTCAGCTCAAGGCTAGTGCTCTACCACTTGAGCCACAGCGCCACTTCCAGCTTTTTTCTTGTTGCTTATGTGGTGCTGAGGAATCGAACCCAGGGCCTCATGCATGCGAAGCAAGCACTCTACCACTGAGCCACCTAAGTTCTGGAGCTTGAGCTCTGGGCCTGGCACTGTCCCTGAGCTTCCTTTGCTCAAGGCTAGCACTCTATCAACTTGAGCCACAGTACTACTTCCAGCTTTTTCTGAGTAGCTTATTGGAAATAAAAGCCTCATGGACTTTCCTGCCCAGGCTGGCTTCAAACTGTGGATCCTCAGATCTCATCCACCTGAGTAGCTAGATTTACAACTGTGAGCCACCCACACCCGGCTTGGATTCTTAGAGTACATAAAGTATACACTAAGCTCTTGTTTCTGTTTGCATTAATTCATTCAACCAGAAGCATTCCTAGGAAAAGAATCTCTTAGGCTTTTCCATTTTCCACAGTGCTCAGAAACTAGTCAATGTACAAATTATTTACTGATTTTGATTGATGGGCAAAATTCAGTCAGATGTTAATGTCATTAATAAAGTGAACCAGAGATTGATATACTTGCTTTTGGACATTCCAGAAAAAAAAAAGAACCAGTGGTGGCTGCACCAGTAGAAGAGATGAGGAAAGAACCTGTTCTGGTGTGTCCACCTTTACGAAGCCGAGCATACACACCACCTGAAGATCTCCAAAGTCGTCTGGAATCACGTCTTAAAGAAGTTTTGGGTTCATCTCTTCCTAGTGATTGGCAAGACATCTCCGTGGAAGATGGACATATGAAGTTCAGTCTCCTGGCACACTTGGCCCATGACTTGGGCCATGCAGTACCTAACTCCAAGCTTCACCAAATGTGTAGAGTTAGAGATATTCTTGATTTCTATAAGGTCCCTGTTAAAGATATCTCTAAGTTTGATGAACTTACTGTCAGTAATTTGCCTCCTAATTTGAAAATCACCTGGGGTTATTGAGCAATTCAGAAAACGGACACACTGAACATAATTTTGTTCTGAGCAAGTTGAATGCTTATTGGACCTTTTGATACTTCATGTTTTATAAAACAACTTTCTGTAGAAGATTAATATCTCTGTCTTGTTCTCTCTTTTCTCATCATGAATCAACAAATAGCAGGCTTTTTTCCTGTTTTTCTCATTTGCTGAAGCTGTTTTTTAAATAGAGTTTAGTCATTAATAATTTATGGAAATTTTTCTTCAGAGGACATTGTAACTTGGGTTTAGGATAGTAGGCTATTACAAATTCAGATGTTGTCTTTACCCTTTCTAGGTATAAACTAATAGTTCGTGAAAATGCCCTCATTAGGGCTCTAAGATCTAAGATGAAAATAGTATACATTACAATCATATACAAATGGGGGTATTTGTATTAGATTAAATAATTAAAATAAACATAAAGGTGTGCTGTATATTTTAGAAGGTTGTTTTGTCACTGTTGACTGTTTGAATAGACTAAAAAATGCAGTACATTCATGGTTAATTGCTTAGAATTAAAGTAAATTTCTTAAAATATATTGTATCTTTAGTTTTTAAAGTGAAATTTGCTGGGAGGTTTTTGCCTTGTGATTTTCTGAGAGTATTATAATTTTTTAAAAGTAAGAATATGTGGCAACTATTAGATGCCCACTTTTAAAAAGTAAGAGATACACCAGGTTCTTTATTTAATTGCATATTCTCACTATGCTTATTTCAAACTTTTTTTTTCTGGAAGTTTCAAGAAAAAATGGCCTTAGATTACTTATAATTACTAGATAGGGTGGCGGATCTATCTACTTTGATGTATTTAGTTTGTGAAAATTACTTGAATAGATTACCAGATGATGAAGAATGACAAAATTGGTGCTCACATCAGAAATGGTTTTTCCTCACAGTTTAGATATAACTAGAAAGTAATGAGACAGGAAGATGTTTGTTACATAGTTTATCTTGACTACTTATAATTCTCAAAGAATTTTGAGAATTGCATTTCTTCTTTGTGCCTGGGTAACTTCTTTGGAAAGGGAAATGAAAATTCCAACATTCTCGGGAAAATTAGTTAGCAGTCCATTCATGCCTTATAAAATGTCACTGGGCAAGAGCTTCATTCAAAAACATCAGAAATCTTTGTGTGACCCTAGAGCTTAGATGTTACAGCAGATATAATTATATCTCTTCTATTTTTGAAGCAGGATTCAGCATGGAACATTTGAATATTATGTACAAGATTAGATTGTCTTGTTTCCCATTCAAAGGCAAAATCGAAATAAGAAGTGAAGTGATTGGTGTAGAAACTAGTTATAACTGGAGACATGAGGGCAAAAATTACGGTTAGGAGATTGCAAAAGTCAGACCTCACAGCACATGATATCCCAGCATTTGGGAGTTTGAAGCTGGAGGATTTCAAGTTCCAGTACAATCTGGGAGAATCTTTAGAAAACAAAGCAACAGGCTGGGAAGGTGGCTCAGTGGTAGAGTGCTTGCCTTGCATGCATGAGACACTGGGTTCCTTCCATTCCTCAGCATCACATAAGCAGAAAAAGCCAGAAGTGGCACAGTGGCTCAAGTGGTAGAGCACTAGCCTTGAGCTGAAGAGCTGAGGGACAGTGCCCAGGCCCAGAGTTCAGGCCCCATGACTACAAAAAAACCCAAAAAACAACAAAATTCACCTTATGGCTAGTAGAGAAAGTACTCCTTTGTAGTCTAGAACAATGTTCTCCAAAATTTAACATGTATGTAAGTCATTTGAGGATACTGATTTAGTACGTCTGGAATAGCTTACGTATGCCTGAAAAGCTTATATATTTGAAATGCTGCTATTGTTTTGAGTAACGTGGCCCTAGATGTTCGTATTGAAATGAGAGAAAGTACTCTTTTCTGAACCAACAGTTAAACTGTACATCCATCCATAACTAGAGGACATCCTTGGCTTATAGGTTAGTACAATGGTTATTTCATTAATGACTTTTAGTTTTCCTGTAAAGGATAAAACTAGGTTTGCTAATTTGTTTACTGAAGTGACCACACTTATTAGGTTTATATATTTTAATTTTTAATATGATGGTTACTATGTGAAAGAGGTGTCAATTACCACTTTTATTTAATTGCATTTTAAAATTCAAATTTGGTCTACAAAAACCAAAGTTGGTCAAAAATCATGGTCAATAGAAATGGTTTTAATAGATTATATGTTTCGAGTAGTATAGAGAGACTTTTGACATCATTTTTATGATTAAACATAACACATTCTTTTTACAAAACCAATTGTAAGCATTGTGCCTACCTACCTTTGGTTCTCAGTTCCACCCAGACCTGAGCTCCTCCCAGCCCTGGAGTTCCCAGCCTACAGCTGACCTCTCCCTCCTCCCTCCCTCCCAGCTCCTACCTACCTTACTTCCTGTCCCCAGACCCTCCTGCTACCTGGATAGGGACAGGTGGCATGTGCTCCCTCTTGGGGGAAATGTGGCTCCTCTAATAAACCTTGTAATAATCTTTCTCTGGTGCCTGCCTGCCTCCGCATGGTCCCCTGGGATGGATGTAAAGGATCCCTTCACCGATAAATGCAAAAAAGCATTAAGAAAAAGACTCATTGCCATCTCATTCATTAGATTCTACTTAACATTCTTGTGTATTTTCAAATGGAAAAACTTTTTTCTATCTTACAACTACTGTAGCATCATGTCCCCTAACTCCCTTCACATTATGAGCACTAAGAGAAAAAATGTTTTGACTAATAGCATATTGTTCAATAATTGGACATTATGCAGCTTTCCAACCAATAGTTTACTATTGGATATTTAAATTACCCGTAGTTATTTGCTTTTATGTTGTTTTTATCTGCTTTTCAAATTCTTTAATGCCTTAAAACTCCTTTCTATTCAGAAGTTATGTAAATTTATGACCCTAAAGATAGAATCTGTAATTTGATCCTACATCTTTGACTCTCAATTCATTAGGAAGTCCTCTATGAATCCTAAAACACAAAATGATAGAAACCTCAAAAATCCATGAACTCAGTCTTACCAGCAACTATGTTTTTTCTTTTTTGCGGAAGGTAGGGGGTGGGGAGTGGGGGCGGGGGTGGGGGGGGGAGATGTCAGGAGACAGTCCTGGGGCTTGAACTCCAAAGCCTGGGTGCTGTCCCTAAGCTTTGTTACATAAGTTTAGTGCTCTACTACTTGAGCCACAGCTCCACTTGACAACATTTTACTGGTTAATTGGAGATAAGAATGTCATGGACTTTCCTGCCCAGGCTGGCTTTGAATCATGATTCTCCAATATCAACCTCCTAAATAGCTAGGGTATAGGTATGAGCCACTTGAAACTACTGTTTTATCCTATCATGTTTTCATTAGGTTACTTCACAATACAAAAGAATGCTTTTATTTGACTTTTCTGAATTTAAAAGGAGCCTGTGAGATTAGCTTCTGATATGACAGAATTCAAATGTGTAATTGTAGATGTACAGTGTACCTTTTCATCATGAAATATCAATCTATGCCTAATATGTAGAACAGTAATTATATAGTGTTCATATTAAAAATTATATAGTGTTCATATTAAAAATTTTCCAGTCTTGGTAATGACCTTAATAGCAATTTGTTGCAATTTGTATCTCAAATGTTCCCAAAGGCTATGTGTTAAAGGCTTGGTCAACAACATTTGGCACTATTGGGAAGTGGTGTGATATTTGAGTCTAATGGAAGGAAGTTAAGTGTTTGGAGACTTGTCCATCAAACACTGGGACTCCGGTCTCTTGCTTTTTGGCTGCCATGGAATGAGCAACTTTGTTCTACTGTGTGCTCCTTGCCGTGATGTTCTGCCTTGCTACAGAACCCAAAACACAACGCAACTCACCATGGGCTGAAACCTGAAACCATACCAAAATAAATCTCAGGGATTAAAAAAGGTGATGTGCAGAGTCAGGTACATGAGTACATTTCCTTTTGAAAGTGTCACCCCATCCCTCATTCCTTTCCCAGTTTTTCCTCTCCCAATTTTCCTCCCCTCACCCCCTGAAGTTGTATAGTTCATTTCCAACATAGTGTCTAGTAGGTTTCACTGCTGAATTGGTTCACCCTTTGTTCTACCATTTCTATGTGCTTCCCTTCCCCTTCCTAAATCAGATAAACTTATATAAAAGACAAAGGGTACACAAATAAAAAACAGCGACAGAAGGCAATAAACCAGAGGAAAAAAACAGAGAAGAAAAGAAAGAAGTGCAAATAGTATAACAAAAAAAAAAAACCCTCATATTTCTTGGAGTTCACTTTGATAGGCATCATTTTATATGATCTTACACACAGCTATTGAGCCTTGTGATCCTCTCCTAAGAATATCCTCCTTCTGAGGGGCATCTGGGTTGGTTCCGTACTTTAGCTATGGTAAATAATGATGCAATAAACATAGTTGTGCTGATAGCTTTAGTATGGCCTGTTTGTAATCCTTTGGGTAAATCCCCAAAAGTGGGATTGCTGGGTCATAGGGAAGCTCTATGTGGAGTCTTTTGAAGAACCTCCATACTACTTTCCAGAGTGGTTGGACAAGTTTACACTCCCACCAACCAATGCTGTAGGGTTCTCTTTTTACCCACATCCCCTCCAGCATCTGTTGTTATTAGAGTTCTTGATTTTAGCCATTCTAACTGGGGTGAGGTGGAATCTCAATGTTGTTTTGATTTGCATTTCTTTTATGGCTAGAGAAGTTGAGCATGGATCAAGAAAATTTGATATATATATATCTATATGTGTACACACATATAGATATAGATATAATGGAATTCTATGCCTCCATCAGAAAGAATGACATCCCCCTATTTGTTAGGAAATGAAAAAAATTGGAAAAAAATTATACTAAGTGAAGTAAAGCCAGGCCCAAAGAAACATAGGTCCCATGGTTTCCCTTATTTGCAATAACTAGTTTACATCTAGGATAATCTTACCAGAGAAGCAGAAAAGGTCACAAGCGATGTACATATGACTATATAAGATGATGCTAAGCAAAATGAACCCCAAGATATGGACACGAGGTTTTTTTTCTTTGTTGCTGTTGTGTTTAATGTACTATGTGATTGTTTTTGTTTCTTTTGTATGTTCTTCCCCACTATGGTGTAACCCCTGTTTTCACTGTATTTAATTATGGTGCCATGCATCTTGAATGTACATTTTTCTAATTTGGGGAGGAGGAGGGAAATAACAAAATGCTGAAACAAGGATACAGGTTGGCTCATTCCAACAATGATTCACACAAGACACTATGTTGAAAATGAACTTTACAACTTCGGTGAGGGGAGTTGGGGGGTGGGGATGGAAGGGATAGTAGGGGAAAGAACAAAAGAGGGGTTAACAATGCTCGATAGGAAATGTACTCACTACCTTACTTCAACCCCTCTGTACAGTATCTTCACAATAAAAATATTAAAAAAAAGAATATCCTCCTTTGTTTGCACTGTGTGAATGTTTAGATTGCTATTAATTAATTATGTCCAGGTGTAATTATTTGTCTTTTACTATCCATTGGGTTTACTTGTAGATTTA